AAAGAAAGAAAGAAAGAAAAGAAGAAAGAAAGAAAGAAAGAAAGAAAGAAAGGAAGGAAGGAAGGAAGGAAGGAAGAAAGAAAGAAAGAAAGAAAAGAAGAAAGAAAGAAAGAAAGAAAGAAAGAAAGGAAGGAAGGAAGGAAGGAAGGAAGGAAGGAAGAACGAACAAACCAAATGCTGTCAGCGGGGAAGAGTTGTTGAGTCTGACGGACTGCCAGTGGCTTCGGCCTGTTGAGAGGTGCCTTTTTGGTGAGCACATGGAGGAGCTGCGCGGGGTGGGGGTGAGGGGTGGGGGATGTGGCTCACAGCGCCAGAAGGACAGAAGGAGCCAAACGTCAGGCTGATCTTGCAATGCAATTTGCCAAAACCTACTACTATGACATGGTCTGGTCCTTGCAGCAGCCATGTGACTGCACAGGTCGCAGCCATTTCGAATTGTTCCAAACGTTCGAACTGTTCGAACCCATTCAAAGAGCTGGAACCTCGCTCGCAACGCTCCAACAACTTTTAACGCTTCAAACGTTCCAAATCTCGAAATGTCCAACACTTTCAGCCCGTTCAGAATGTTCGAAACGTTGGACACACTCACAACGTTCAAACAATCTGAAATGTTCGTGACGTTCCAGATTCGAACCGTTCAATGCTTACAGCATTCATATATTCAATATTCGAACTGCTTGAAATGCTGCAAACGTTAGAAGGTTCGATGCGAATGGAATAGTTTCCAATCATTTTCCAGTCATGGTTCCACAAACAATGGCTCCAGAAATGTTTGAGGCTTGTTCGCAGACATTTGAAACGTCCGAAGCGCCAATTTAGCGTGCGACGTGTCTGCCGAAAACTGCTTGCAACGAGTCTCTCTCGCTCTCTCTCTCTCTCTCTCTCTCTCTCTCTCTCCATGGCACTGGATGTTCGACCCAAATAACAAGTGTCCGATCTTCACAGCTTGCGGCAAATAGACCAGCTCCCTGGCATTTTTATTTTTATTTTTACTGGGATGACACGCACATTTCTAACCATGTTTGAACTGGGACATTTGCTCTTGCATACCTGCCTGGAGTGTTTGTCCTCTTGAACAAGTACCCACGTTTTCGGGGTCATGACTCAATTTTCTGGATCACAGTTAGACTGTCTAGACTCAGACAAGTTGGCACTTTATCAGAATGCGCCAAGAACAATTGGACTTCTCTTGACGTCCCGCATGAGAGAGCTGGACAGATGGAGTGTATACAGAAGTGTGTGCTAGAACACCCCGTGCCCAAGCAAAAAGCAAACTGAAGGAGATTCAAATGGCCAAAGCAAAAACCCAGTTTTCCCGAAAGCAATGTTTGCTGTGTGGCATGAGGCAATTTGAGCCGTGAGCTTGATCAATCAAAAGACCCTGACAGAATCATTCCTCTAGGTTTCTGGGGTGGTTCCCGGCAATATGGTTATTTTTTTTCCGTTTGGCTTGGTTGGGTGTCCGAATGTTTACCCCAGCGAGTTGAAGACGTCCGGGAATCTGAAAACGGAGTTCATGGCGAATCCGTGGGTTCTGTTCTTTGGGCGCGGGAGGAGTTTGCCATGCAGAAGCTGCAAAGCTTCACCTTGTTGTCCCGCGCTCGGAGCGCAGATAGAGGTACTCAAATGGGCGTGGCTCAAAACTATAAAGCTAGGGTTACGCAGGCTTTAGTCTTTGGCTCCATTTACCTTTTGGTGCCATTTGGGTACCAATTTTTGAGCTTAAATGGTAACCGCAAAATGGTCTCCCCTGGTAAATGGAAAGGACTAACCCGAGCGGTCCGATTCCTGGTTAAGTTTGACCCGTGCCCAAATCACTCGACGATTCCTGCGGCGCTCGCGGCTGTTTGCTTCCTTTGTTTCGGCGTGGCCATGGGTCAAAATCCCGTACCCCCTAGTGAACGTCCCAATCCCCGCTAAAATAGGTTCCAAAATGGGTGGTGCACCTACCCCGAAATGGTACCTACCCCAAATGGGATCCCATTGTTTTTTTTTTCCTGTCCCACAGCCACATGCTGTTCGGCATCCTTTGTCTCGAACTGAGTTTGTACCAGCTCCTCAGCTCCAACACACACCTGTCACTGACCTGGTCACAGCTCGTGACCCACACCACAAGGCGGGGCTCGCGCGCTTTTTGCTTCTTTTTTGGATGAAGGTTTGCAGAGGCAGGCGACGAGTCGAAGGCGGATTTGCTTTGGACAAATTGGCTTCAATCTTGGAGGTCGGGGCTCAATATGCATGCTGTACTAAGAAAATAAATGGTCGTTTTCTTGGAAGTCGGGGGTCAACGTTCCTCGACATGCATATGGGTGTGGCTCAAACTAAAGCAGCCGGGGAAAACCGCTGGTTTTAGTCGATCTTTCTATTTACCTAGACGTCCAAGCCATTTCGGGGTTGCCCCATTTTTGAGCCACAGCCATATGGCTGTGGGTCAAAATTTTACCCCACCATGATATGGACCGCAGGATAAATCGTCATTTCCATTTATCAGGGCTACCGATTTTGGGGTTGCCCCATTTTTCCACAGCAGCCATATAGCCCCGGAGGCCCTGAGGCCCGGAGATCGGCCCGGAAAATTCCCCAGGCAGTTCCTGGCGGTGGGGCCCAAGAGCCACTCGCAGCTCTGGGATCCTCGGCTCGAGCGCGAGGAGCTGAGAGAGTCGGGATCGGAGCGCTCTCAGAGGCTTGTTTCTTTGGTGGGGCCCATCTTTTTGCCTCCGTTTTCTTGGGGCCGCCCGTTTTTTTTTGGGTTTCTGTTGGATGCCCAGAAAGGAATCCTGCATACCTATGTTGACATATTAGGTGAGTTGGGATTTATTTAAGATACCAGTGGAGCTGGCGATGCCTGGAAAAGGGGTGGTGGTGGCAGGTTATGTTCTCTGCTTGTTCGATGTTTCTCTTTGTTCCCTTCTCTTCTTTATAGTTGTCTTCTTTCCGTGTCTCTTTCTTAAGGCAAAGGAACACGAGGTGGCATCTCAAGCTTACACCATGGCGACTCAAAGCGAAGAAAGAAGAGGTTCTACTGCCACCGCCACGACGACGGACCAGCAGACGCCGCTGGCTCAGAGGAGAGGGCCTCACGAGAGCGGACACGAGAGCGCGACAGCCCGGGACCCCATTTTTTTTTTGGCTTTAACTATGGACCATGGCCATTCTGGACCCATACATCTGACCCAATGGATGTGGAGCCTTGGACTCAGAACTTCAGGCTGGAGGCGGCTCTGAGGGAGATCAGCCACTTCTCCGAGGCCGACGGCAGCGGCCACACCTCCGCCAAGTGCGAATCGGACTCGGCAAGTCGGGGAATCGGCGAACCCCAAACACTGCCCAACAAGGAAGGAAACACATGAATGACATCACAAACTTATTGGGCATCCACAGAAACAGAGAGATGGAGAGAGAGAGAGAGAGAGATATACAGCAAGAGAGCGAGAGAGAGAGAGAGAGAGAGAGAAGAGAGAGAAGAGAGAGAGAGAGAGAGAGAGAGAGAGAGAGAGAGAGAGAGAGAGAGAGAGAGAGAGAGCGAGCGAGCTAGAGAGCGAGAGAGCAGAGAGAAGAGAGAGAGAGAGAGAGAGCGAGAGAGCAAGAGAGCGAGAGAGAGAAGAGAGCGAGAGAGAGAAGAGAGAGAGAGAGAGAGACCGAGAGCGAGAGAGCAGAGAGAAGAGAGAGAGAGAGAGAGAGAGCGAAGGAAGCAAGGCAGGCAGACAAGCTCCACGCAGGGACTGCACCCGCATCCCCGCACCATGCGATCTTTGGGTGCATGCAGTCACCGAAACCAATCCAAGCCACACATCAAATCACCCCAAGCCCTAGTCCCTAAACCCTAGACGCTAAACCCTGGACCCTAAACCGTGGACAGACATGAACCCAAACCAACTCTACGGGATCCTTGTCCACCCTCACCCAATCCAGCAGTACAGAGTATTTACCCAACCCTGAACCAACCCTCAACCCCCAAACCAAGCTGAATTCCTTACTCAACCAGGCTGGGGTCTCCCCCCAAAAATCGTTACTGCATATTACGGGAGACTAAATATCAGATGGGCAGAGCAAAGTTCGGCTTTCCGATCTCCCTAGAACCAGGGTCTGGTCTGTTCGACAGACAACTTTCTTCTAGTAGTTTAAACCTCCCACTAGCTCGTTTTGGGCAGACTCCCGTACCAGGTGGTGTGAATGTCGCTCGCACATTGGGGCAGAGCTTGGCCGCCTTGGCTCCCCAGCGGCCTTTGGGAGCCGCATTCCATGCAGGTGGCTGTGTGCTTGCCAAGCGGAAAGAGCTGCTGTGTGTCGCTGTCGCCGGACTCGACGGTGCGCGAACTGAAGGCTGAGGCACAGCAGCGATTGAAGCGTCGCTGCCTGGGGCTGGCTTTGAGAGGGCAAAAGCTAGATCCGTCGTCTACGTTGAGCGAGGTCAGCGTGCGAGACGGGGACAGCATTGACGCAGTCGCGCAGCCAGTAAAAATTGCTTCCACAGATGAGGCGTTTGCGCTTTATGTTCCTGGAGACTGTGTGTTGACTTGGGGCCGTTTTGGCACTGGCGGCGACAGCAGCCACGTGCGAGAGCAGTTGGCGCAGGTTCGGCAGATCCAGTCGAATGAGTGTGCTTTTGCTGCCATCCTGGAGGATGGCTCTGTGGTGACCTGGGGTGTGTCTTTCTTCGGAGGTGACAGCAGCCGGGTGCGAGAGCGGTTGGTGCACGTACAGCAGATCCAAGCAACTAGCACAGCTTTTGCTGCCATCCTGGAAGATGGCTCTGTGGTGACTTGGGGCAACTACTGGTGCGGCGGTGACAGCAGCCAGGAGCGAGAGAAGTTGGTGCGTGTCCAGCAGATCCAAGCAACTAGTTCTGCTTTTGCTGCCATCCTGGAAGATGGCTCTGTGGTGACTTGGGGCAGTCCTGAGGGTGGCAGTGACAGCAGGCAGGAGCGAGAGCGGTTGGTGCACGTGCAGCAGATCCAAGCAAGTGGCACAGCTTTTGCTGCCATCCTGGAAGATGGCTCTGTGGTAACGTGGGGAGATGCTGACGCTGGCGGCGACAGCAGCCAGGTGCAAGAACAATTGGTGCGTGTTCAGCAGATCCAAGCAACTAGATATGCTTTTGCTGCCATCCTGGAAGATGGCTCTGTGGTGACTTGGGGCAGTGACAGCCAGGTGCGGGAACAATTGGTGCGTGTCCAGCAGATCCAAGCAACTAGATCTGCCTTTGCTGCCATCCTGGAAGACGGCTCTGTGGTAACGTGGGGAAATGCTTCCAGCGGCGGCGACAGCAGCCAGGTGCGAGAACAATTGGTGCGTGTCCAGCAGATCCAAGCAACTAGATCTGCTTTTGCTGCCATCCTGGAAGATGGCTCTGTGGTGACTTGGGGAAGTCCTGAGGGTGGCAGTGACAGCAGCCAGGTGCAAGAACAATTGGTGCGTGTCCAGCAGATCCAAGCAACTAGATCTGCTTTTGCTGCCATCCTGGAAGATGGCTCTGTGGTGACTTGGGGCAGTCCTGAGGGTGGCAGTGACAGCAGCCAGGTGCGAGAACAATTGGTGCGTGTCCAGCAGATCCAAGCAACTGGATTTGCATTTGCTGCCATCCTGGATGTCGGCTCTGTGGTGACCTGGGGCGATCCTGGCCGGTGGTGACAGCAGTCAGATTCAGTCTCAATTGCTCTAGTGAAAGAGCTATTTTGCCCTGTAGAGGATGCGACTTGTTGTGTCCTTGCCTCTTTGGTAGGTCCGTTGTATTATACCATTGCTTGTAAATAGTCGATGCATTCGAGTTCCCCAGCAGCGCCTTGGAAGAAGCCAGGCCTTGCCAGCAGGAGCACCGGTCGCAAAAAGCCAGGTCCTTGAGCGGCGCTGGGATTCGAATGCTACAAGCCCGCCAAGGCCAGGGTTGAGGAGCTGAGGAGCCGGGGTTTTCAGTTCAACTGGGCTGTTTTCAGTTGCCAAAGAACAGCAAAGTGAACAGGTGATGCTGGCGATGCGGACATGTGATGCTGGCAATGAAGCACCTGCTAGTGATTTCAAGTGCAGCTGTGCTACCACTGAGCTATAGACTTGTGCCTTTACTGTGATAGTCGCGACATATAAATCAAGGGCCGCGAACCTTGCAAGTGCCCCGGGGCCGTGAGAAGCAAAGTGCGCTCAAACAAACGCTCTAAGCTCAACAACTCCAAAACACGTGTTTTGTCTCAGCAGGGTGGTGGGTGGGCCTCAAGAAGTACGAACTCGTTTACTATACTCACCGCTCGGTCGCTTCGCCTTCGATTCGCCGGCCCAAGGGCATCTGATTCATGCAGACACCTCTCAAGCCATGCGCCAAGAGCACAGCCCGGCTCATGACTTTCTTCCTTCACCGCGACCCCCATCACCTTCAGAGCGTGTGAGTTAGAGTGTGCTAACGTTAGCGCGGCAAAAGGAACAGGTGATGCTGGCAATGCGAGCAACCGACGCTGATGTGGAGCTTTACCCAAAACAGGCAAGTTTTTTTCGAAACTGGCCTGTTTTGCAGGGCCGAAAGAACAGCAATGTGAACAAGTGATGCCGGCGATGCGGACAGGTGCCAAACACAGCCTGCGAGATAGTGAATTCCTACCACTGAGCTACAGAGTTGCACCTTTGCCGTGGTTATCGTGGACAACGGACGAAAACCTCGAAAAGAATCACAAACTGTGCCACACGTAACAGGCCTTTGTTGTCTAAAAAGTGCATCGCTCGTAGCGCAACAGGGAGGAAGTAAACACTCCAATGGAGGGCTAAAGGGGGGCGGGGGCCTGTCCTGGATAAGCCAAGGAGCCCTAAATTGAAGACTTTCACCAACTCACCCTTAACCATTTCCACATTTACCCTACACCCTAAACCTGCCCAAAGCCACACAACCTGCCTGTCATGATTCCTAGACTTACCCCTTTCATTGACCCTAGGCCAAGCCAATCAATGCAAACCTCCCACCCAGAACTAAAGCGGACTCTAAATCAACTCTAAACCAACCCCAAACAAACCCCAAAGCACCCCTCAGCCCACCCTGAATCCATGCTAAACCTACAGCAAGCGCACCGTAAGATGGACCCTACGCAGTTTGTTTAATCTCAGACACAAAAGACCAACTTTGATGCCTTTGAGTGGTAGCCTGTCTGGCTGAATAGGGATTGTAGCAAGGCCTGTAAATCTTTATAGTCATGTTTGTAGAACCAGCAAATAAATATCAATGCGTTGCTGATTTGATGTTCCATGTCACCTGTGCACATGCTCAAGCTGCAAAATAGCATCATATGCAAGATGGTATGCAATCTCATTACCAGCCAGCGGGCGCAGTCCAGCAACCCGTATAGCCAGTTTGGCAGATTGCCAGTTCATGGTTTGGGAATCAAGCGATGTTGTTTGTTGCCCATTTCCGCTTTTCATGGATCAATCTCGCTTGCTCACACGCGTAGAGGGCCAACACGTCACTCCAGGTTTGTTTTTCGCGCGGAACACGCAGAACCACGTCGTGCTGCGTGACTATCGCAGCCCAGATTTGCATTCTTGCAGCAAGTGCTACTGTTGCGGGTTCGAAGGGATGTACCGATCTAGAAGGATCTCCACCACGGCAGCTATGGATTCGTATCTAACTTTCTATTTGGCAGAGTTGTGGCCACACACACACACACATGTTCCAGGTACAACTTGCGCGAGGACCAGTGCCTTGGCACAAAAAATCCTTCGCGTCCCAGGTTTGCACCCCACGCCATTTTTTCATGTTCAATGCCGTGGTATCATTTGATTGGTGACTCATGTCTCCTCCCTCTTGCAAACATGCCCCTGGCGCCGAAAAGGCCAGTTTGGGTTGCCTATTTCACTGAAAAGGACATTTTGGGTCCGGTTGTTCTCCTCGAGATTCGTGTTCTTCCCGAGGTGGCTCGGGGTCGACCCATACTTCCACCTTTTCAGCTGGAGCTGCGAGCTCAGCCACAAGCGCCATGGGTCAATGAATGATTCGCCTGGCTCCCGAGACCGATGGAATCGGACCGGTTCCAGTCCGTGTTTCCATTTGCCAGGGATCCATTTGATTTGCAGGTACCTATGTTTGACAGCCATTTGCAAAGTGAAGCCACTGCAGGTTAACAGGGAATTGGCTGGGATGCAGCTTCTTCCATACTTCCCCTGTCGGCTCCCTTCGTCTTTTCTTCTTCTTTTTTTCTGCACCGTACTCAGAACAGTTTGAACTCCCTTGTGGGATTTTGAGGTGGATCACGTCTGCTTTGCCTCGTGCCAGTGCTTTTGAGGCGACCAGCAGAAGGTGGAGGAAAACTTGTCCCACGCGCTGAAGGCTTGCCGCAAGCTGACATTCTCGGAAGGAACTGTGCCTGGCTGTGTTTTTTTTGCGGCGATATTTTCTGTGTCAAGTGGGTTTCCGTGCTTTCGACGGGCAGCATCGAGCTTCACATGGATCTGTTTCAGTGGTTGCGCCTGTGTCGCTGAGCATTCGGTTTCCTGCCTGCCTCTCATTGGCGCGCGCCACATAGAGCGGCCTCAGCGAACGGTTCGGACCTTTCGGAGCTCGGAGGCGCGCGGCTGGGATTTGGCGCACTGGGTGGAGCAGTGCTCGCCTCAAGCCTTGGAGCTGCGGACGGAGGGCCTCTAACGTTGACCAAGGATTTTTCTAAAACCCGTCCCATGATTGGGGGGGTGTTCCGAATTCCCTCCAAAAGTGGTCTGAATCCCCACTTAAAAGGGGATACCCTCCTATTGATCAACCAGGGGTTTATTAATCCGGGCTAACATTAGAGAGAGCCTGAGGTCAGCGCGGCAGCCGATGCAGGAGGCGTATCAGCAAAGATTCCAGCGGTGGTGCTCCAGTGGAATGGCAAGATGCTCAGAGATCGGGGCGAAATGGGGTGGATCAGTATTTCGTTCGGCCCCCAAATGACCCATGTGGGAAACATCTCATGCTGTTAGCAGTTTTCCAACCAGGGTCATCCCATGTTTCCCGGCCCTTTCGATCGACCCCCCCATACAGAATAGACATCCCATTTCTCCCTGTCACCCCAAAAGGATTTTTTCATGGCCCAACAGGAGATGTTTAAACCACCCTTATGGGAAATACGGGTGTGTGACATGTTTAGAAGGTGTGCTTTGCAATAGGGAAATACCTGACTGAGGTGCAAGCCTTTTGTTGGCTGCTACTGGTGCGCCTTGCCTTCCAGCCGAAGAAGGCGGCTGTGAGGGAAGATCAGCTTGGCGGGTCAGCAGGGGGTGTAGTGGGTCTGCCGGAGTGCCATTGAAGAGAACGTGGGAAAATCAGAGGGCCTCGTCATCAGCAAAAGCGGCATTTCCTCCTTGACTCAATGGGCTCAAGTTGCAGATTCGGCTTCTCATTGGGCGGAAACCTGAGCTTACAACGGTGATTGTTTTGCTTCCTTCTCCGGTGACATGGACGAAAATGGGTCTCAACAACAGGAAGATGTCTATTCTTTGCTTGTCGAAGCGGCCGCCAGAGAAACCATTGTGGCAGTTGTGGAAGGTTTAGTGGGAGAGTAGTAGCAGTCAACCTGCATCAGCATCCTGGAAGCCAGGGCCAAGCGAAAAACACATGAAGTACCGTCAAATTACTTCTGTTGAGTCTAGTGTTCGTCGTTTCGCTGATATTGTGAAAATGCACAAACCCATTGCAAACGATAGGGGACTCTCAAAAAGACGATATCCCTGGAAAACAATTGAAACGCTGGAAAACGAGAGGGGACTCTCAAACCAAGTAGCAAAACGGCCGTAAGAAAGTAATTTCGACCGTGCCTCACATCAAGAATCCTCTTATCGGAGTGATCACCAGGCGCGATTGATCATGACCAATGATGGTAGCGCCAGGATCACTGCGAGCGACTACTGGCCTGAACCTCAGTCTAGAGCCCAACCATTCCCTCGCTTGAGCCGTCCGGTTACTGAGTAATTGCAGGGGATATATGGCAATGCCCTCTTCTAAGACTCACCAGGATGATCCTATGATGATGAGTTCACTTGTGCCTCAGCGATACATGTGACCGCACTTGTTAGCATAGTTGGGCCTTGGGGCTTTCCGCTTGCAGGTGCTGGGGCTGCTGCTGGCTTTGCGTCTGGAGCAAAGTCGGGAGGTACTTGCGAAATGGGAAGTGCATGCGTCAGAGTGTGAGCTGTGGCTGCAGTTTCCACAATGAGTATGCTACAAATAAGCAGCGTAGCAGCCCCACTGGAAACTGCCAGTCTGGTGGTTTCACCTGGGAAGCGGAGTTTTTGGGTGTCACCTCGCAAGTTTCCGCTTATCAAGCACCCCGTACTGTACTAAGCCTGAGGTTCGTTGCGGGCCAGCACAGAGGACAGCCAGTCCTTCCGTGTCAAGCCACCCTGGCTTGGGTTTTGGCGTCCCATTTCTCCTTTTGGCCGAGGCAGGTGCATTCAAGGCGCTCCGTTGAGAGGAGCACGCGGCCTCAAGTGCTACGGGCCCTGGTTCTCATTGGGATGGGCAAGCGCAGGCACGACATGTCAGGTGGCTCGGCCAGAGATGGCAGCCGCATGCCCAGCCCTAGGCGGAGCTTTCCGACGAAGCGCAGCTGCTTTGGTTGTCGAAGGTGAGGAGTTTGTTCCATCAATGCAGTGAGCTATGCTAAGATTGGGAGGCAATGGGTCGGAACTTGGCCGAGTCTGCGGTCCGCAAGTTCCGCATTCAGGCCTGGGCTTAGCAAGAAACAGCTTGTTGTTGGTCCGTCCCACGAGCTTGCTTTCGGGTGAAGACATACCAGAGGCACTGATCCTGATTCAAGCCTGGGGATGGGGGATGCAGGTTGGATCTGCCTCTCAAGAGTTCAGTCCCCTTTCAATCCAGAGGGGCGGGCAGGTGTTGGCTTTCACGATGGCTCAATGATCTTTGCCCCTCAGCCCATTTGGGTCGAGCCAGTCAGCCAGCCAACGATGCTGACTGAGAAGTGCTCTTACTCATTGATCAACGATGCACTGCGGATCAAGGCAACGTCAAATGATCAGAACTCTGCCGTGCATCTCCAGGGGAGTCAAGTGCAATTGCCGGGTTTGGTTCCACCTCTGCAGGTGGACACCGAGATGTGCACCATGATCGTGGTTTTCCCCCGTGGAAAGTCGGAGGGTGGGATGCTGAGCCTCCGTGAAACGGTGGAGGCTCCACTAGAACAAGCGGCGAAGATCTTCGATGTGATCGACAACCCCTGCACCCTCGACTCTCTGCAGGGCTTTGACCACATAGGCAACGAACCGATTCGTTTGGGGCACTACCAGGCAGACATCCGGAAGCGGTTCCTAGAGGTTCTGAGCAAGAATGGGGTTTCGGCGATGCAGTTCCCTTCCATAGACGAGGATGAGGACTTTGTGAAGCTGTTTCTGCCCTTGGAGGGCTTCCCCATCGAGGAGATGGCTGAGAAGCTGGAGTATCACATGCCCTACAAGCCCAGCATCTACGAGGCCGTGCAGCCGCATGGGCCCTTCCCAGGCCTCTCGCCCATGTGCAATGATCGGGGCGAGGAGGTGGTCGCCCATGGCATCTTCCAGAGGGCCCAGAAGCACAAGTTTCAGGCCTTTCGCCAGATGGACGCCGTGCGCATCTTGGAACTCTGGCTCCACCGATGGGTGAGCCTGGATGCGATGGTACGGCAAAAGGTTATTGTAAGCTACTTCCCCTGCCCGGATGTCGGGGCGCTAGAAGAGATCCACAGAAAAGTCTTATCTCCGTCCAGTTGGCTGGACACCACGCTGTCGGGCTTGATGGGCCCCATCCGCGACTACTTCGGGGAGGAGATTGCCTTCTACTTCCACTTTGTCAGGCATCTGTGCAACTCAATCCTTCTGCTCGGGTTTCTGGGAATTGTTTTCAGGATTCTGCGGTGCGTGTGGCTTTCCAAGAGTGCGATCAACGTGTCCAGGTCCATCATTGCGCTGGGCATCTCCTTGTTTGCCGCGATCACGCTCCAGTTCTTCTATCGCAGCTCGGCGCGCTTGAGGCAGCTCTGGGGTGTCGAAGGGTTCGAGAAGTACACGCAGTACAACTTGGATTGGAAGCACGATGGCCACGGGGAGAATTGGGGCATCATCGTGAATTGCATGGCCATGCTTTACATCCTGGCTTACGTGGGTACCATTTCAGCGCTGCTGAAATGGCAGCACGAGCTGGACGCCGAGTCCGATGGGGCCAATGCGGCGTATTCGGCCTTACTGGTCACAGCCGTCATCAAAGGAGGGGCCTTCATTTGGACCAAGGTGGCACCTCTCTTGGTGCATTTGGAGAACCGGCGTACGCAGGATGAATACTCTCAGAAGCTGGCAGCGCTGCTGGCAATTGTCAAGCTCTTTGTGGCGAACTTCCCTTTTGTCCAGCTTTGCTTCCTGAACAGGTTCACCAAGGAGACTTGTGCGGAGACCTTCGATGAAGCTGCCGCCAAAGTCTGGCCTAGCTTCGACGCTACAAAGCTGAAGCCGGATGTACTGGATCTGCTGCAGAAAGGATTTTCCAATAGATACGAAGGATCCGTATGCATTCGTGGCTGCCGCCCCTTTGAATACACAAAGATCGAGCCTTCATCAGAGACAGATTGCGAAGTGGCCGTGGAGGCGAATCTGGAGACCTATTTTATCTTCTCCATTGCGGTGGAGATTGCATTTCTGGTCTACCCAATCCTTGCTTCGTATTGGGAGATTCGCAAGGAATACAAGAAGCTTGAGAGCCAGCGTAACGTCGAAGAGCTGCGCTACTCAGTGCTGCAATGGGAGGCCAAGAAGTTCCGCTACAGCTTCGATTCCTGGGGGGGGGATCATACCAATGACTTCTTGGACATGGCGGTGGCTTATTCTGTCATGGCACTCTGGGGTTCCATCACTCCTTTGGTGGCATTTGTGGGGGTCTTGTCCCTGATTGCATCCTTCCGCTTGCGTATCTATCGGATGCTCTATGTCACCCAGCGGCCATTTCCCCGAGCATCTGCAGGTCTAGGGATTTGGCGCGACATTTTCGAATGGATCAATGTTGCAGCAGTGACGTGCAATGTGGGCCTTGCGTGCTTCTTTTTTACCCCAGGAAGATTATTCGATCCATCGTTCCAAATCGGTATCTTCCTTCTTGGAGAGCACGTGGTCCTTCTGCTGCAGGCAACGGTTCGGTTTTGCATTCACGAACATCCACGTGAAGTCAAGGCCATTGACAATTACAATGAACATGTGCTGAACGTCATGAACCATGATCAGCAGCTATCCACGGGTGCTGCCAGCAATCTCAGCCACATCAACTTGACCCTGGAGCTTCTGTCCGTAAGTTCCAGCGGCACCACCTGCACTGAATCAAGCGGCTGAAGCAAAGGCTTCGGGTGCGATGTATCAGTATCACTGGTATCGGTTAATGCAGATCGAAGTAGAGGGAAGTGCAAAGGCGCGCGCATCGTTTTCGTGTACCCAAAGGTCCAATAAATGTCACCAGGGCCCCAGTCTTGGGGGCCTTATTTGTGGTCTCGCAAAGCCACAGACACATGCCAGGTGGCTGCAGAGTCCACTCTTGAAGTGTCCTTGATGGATGCGGCGCTGACCTTACATTGAAGGCACTGCGACATTTGTTCGGGCATTCTTTCTCGAGCGTCATGGTTATCACGGGCAAAACCCTGCAATTCTGGAGCGCGCAATCTGCAGCATCTTTTTGCAAACAATTCTGCGGCGTCCAGGTCGAGCGCTTGGCGACAATGAAAGAATCCATGTGTGGCAGCCTGGCGTGCGGGCCATACAACTTGTACCAGATTCTCTTGCTCTTGGACTTTCTTGCCTGTGCTTGCCTACGTTTAGATGCATGTTTTGGGCTTGTTCGTTCTTGTCACCGCCGGAGAGCCCTAAACCCATCCCTCAGGTCAACCCTAAATCAGGCCTAAACTGACCATCTTACACTCACCCGAATCCCATCCTGATCCCACCCTCAAACCCACAACCCACCTCAACCCAAGTCCAAACCACCCTAAACCCCACCCTAAACCCACCCCACACCCGCACCCTGAACCCACCCCAAGCCTAAAGCCGCCCTAGACCACCAACCTCGCCAAACCTGCTCGCCGCATCCCGCCGTTGCTGCTGGCGTTGATGATGACGATTTGCCGGAACATTGTTCCCAACATGCGCAAGCGCAACAAGAGGCGAAACATGATCCAGCACCCTTTGGATGCTCAATCAGGGAATATGAAACAGGAAGCACGTCAAAAGAAATCATGGCTCAGATTTGCCGCTTTCGGATTGACTACCGGGAAGGCGCTGAAACCCCACTGAGGTGCGCGCTTCGGAGCCAGCTGGGAACGGCCAAAGAGGCTGGCGGGCGATTCTCTTATGGGCACATGCCTCACGCTCCAAATTGGTGTTGATCCACACAAGTGGTGCCGTGCTGACGACCCTCACTTGCCTCTTGCACCAACAAATCAACCAAGGTGAAGTTTTTAATGTGCGAGTTAGAGTCTGGAAAGCGCTGCTCATACACTTGTTGAACTGTGCATGTCCTGGTGCGAGTGCAAGCTTCCGGATGCCCCTTCCTGCAATCACCTCATACAATAGCTGTTTGCCAATATCGTCTTTGTGACATTATACAATGATATCTCGTTGATTCGCTTGCTGCAACCGCAGCGATTGTTGCGACACCATCAGCTGAAGGGTACCAACTGTGGTAGCATCGACAAGTGGTCCACTTTTACGAAGCATTGCAATTCTGCCTTGATGCCGGGATCCTTAGAGCGTCAACAGATTACGTGCTTGCATTGGTGTATGCTGCAGGCATCTCAAGCAGGTTCTGCTTGCCCAGCCCTTAGAGAAAACACGTGCGCACACAGCACACGGCATGGTTCGATTGAAGGCCGTTCTTGAGGTGCTGGGATGGACGTGTCCAGCGGGCACGACCACGAGGAGCAGATTTGTGCAGCAGACCTTGCTGCCCAACACTTGCCTTTGTCGCTTTTCCATGTTTGCTGGATAGGACCACAGAGCAAAGCGGCGGAAAGCTGCGCAAGAGCGGCAACAAAGATTGCCAAAGTCTGAAACCTTTGCCTTCCCTTGCATTTTTTATCACCTTAGGCTCGACAATCTGCGCAAGCGCCAAGCAGAATTCATCTCCGGCGCTTGGGGCTCAGTGATGGGCGATGAACATGGAGCCCAACTTTAGACTGACACTGGCGCAGTGCCAGACTGCGGCGTGGTGTTTTGGGCAGCCTTGCCGACAGGCGGGACAGAGATACGAGCATGTACCGATACATAGCCCGCAAACGGTCGCCGCCCAAGTGTGGCTCCATACGTTTGGAGCGCGCTGGTGGCATTTGCCGGAAGCAAATCAGGCCACCGAGGTTGAGATGCAGGCTCTGGTTGCGAGTGTGTTTGTGCACGTAAAAAAGTCGGGGGCAGAATGCGGCAAGGTATCGCCCGCAGAATGCGTGGTCTGCATGTCACAGGACCACCGCTTAGTACACAAGAACGAGTGAGAGAGAGCACAGCCTGGATTTCTTGCTGGCTTGCCCTGAGATGCAGGAAGGCGAGGACGACCCGCTCGGCCTTATTTGCTTCCTGCGACCCGCGGTGGCTTCCTCTTTGTCGCTTGGCTTGCACCCACAAGCGCGTGATGCTTTCTGTTTGCTCATCGATATTTTTTCTTTATTAGCAAGAACATGTGGTGGTGATATTTCAACCTAAAGACTGGAAACCGCACGTAAATGTGAGTTCCGGAAGGTTCCAGAGAAATCAATCGGCTGGTCCGGAGGGTTCCAAAATCCGCTGGCAATCCAGAGGGTTCCAGAAGCTGCGTCATTGAGTAAACTGCGGGTTGGGGCAACTGAGAATCCGCCTTCTTCAGAGTGTTTGAATGCTCGGCACCCGAGGCAACCCAAATTCTGCGGATAACCCGGAGAAGATTCCGAAAACTTCCGGAGCATTTGACTGAGCATTCGTGCATCATAATATGCAAGCCATCCGACAACATGTGACGGGACACTGTTGCCTGCTGCCTGTTGTAATCATTGTATATATATAGAAGACATAGTGGCGCGTTGACTTGCAGAGAGTCAAACAACACAATATTCACTTTGTATAGCATTCCTGCTGGCGTGAAAAACATACATTTAATGGCACACTGCAACCTTGCAATCAAACAGAGGTTTTCCAGACACCAGGACTAGGTGCGCCAATGCTACCGTGGCTGGACGAAATCCATCTCGCACCACCGTTCAGAAACCCTTGTTTCTGATTTGATTCCCCTGCAAATTACCAATCAACGTTCTGATGGAATCTCCATGTAAAAACCCAACAAACACACAATCAAAACAGCTATTTCGGCTCCTTGCCTTCGTGCGGTAGTGGCTGTTTCAGTTCTTTCTGACCCTAGGGAGGCCATGGGTCCTTGTTCTGGAGGAACTGAACGAAAAGGGGGCTACGATTTGAGTGATGTGGGACATCGCGTGGCGTTTCGGAGTTTCTTTTCGTATGGTTGGATCTTTGTGATCCTTTTTGTGCTCATTCAATTCTTTTCTTCTATTTCATTGGCAGTCGATGGAGTTCAGATCGGTACTATTGAATATGATCAGGAAGATGTGGTACAGCTGGTATTTCGGATTTGTGCCTTCTTTTATTTGACGGAGACAGAGCAGCCGGAGCAGATGACTCGTGGGCGCGAAACACCGGCAATGGGTGCAGATGTGGATGGATCGCCGCAAGTGTGGCAGGCGGTTATTCGGGCCGGCGTTGTGCAAATTCCGGGAGAGGGGCCTGCTTTTGGAGGGCCTTGGCGGGTGCTTTTTTTGGGGATCAGAGGATGTGGAGACGCTTGAAATCCTTTTGTTTGAGTGGAGATCTCTTGATCAAGCAACGTCGCAATGATGCTTGGGCGGATGAGAGGTCTGTACAAGCTGCTGCTGATGCTTTGAAGAGGGAGATCGTTGTGCTTAAGCAATCGGATGGCGCTTGCAGTATTTACAGTGGTACAATGGTGCACTTTCGGCCCTTGCAATCGGAAGGCAGGCCTCCCATTAACATCCGGCCTCATCTTGACCACTTTGGGCAGTTGCGCGACGTCAGGGTTTATTCAGCCAGCGACTCGATGGATTGGGCGGCGTGTGAAATCGGTGGCCTTGATGGACGTGACTGGCATTTGCATTTTGGCACCAGCCCCGAGTCAGTTCAAGGGTTCATTGAGCCATGGATGGGAGAAGGTTTTGAGCAGATGGGCGAAGAACAATCCAAGGTGCAGCGAGGCGTGGTCTCTGGAGTTAAACATCTGAACCTCCAGGAATCGTCGCTACGGGTTTGTTGTGGAGGAGCTCCTCGTACAGAGAAACGACAATCGACCTTTTTAGAGAAGCATGCCTTGTGGCTTACTTGGGCTTTGCGGCACGGAGTTAAACAGCTGAACCTCCCTTCTGATGAGCTCGGGTACACAACAATCGATGCAGTTACGCATCTGCGGCGTGGGCTCACTGCTGATCAGGTGGAGGGCGTTGTTCGTGTTGACAAGAAAGGAAGGTTTGAGATAAGGGTTGTCAATGGCGTTCGACTCATTCGGGCTGTGCAAGGTCATTCAAAGGGTCTTTTGCGTGAGGATATACATGAGATAGCTGATATCGATGGGTTGACGCTTAAGCGTGCCACCTATGTGCACTTCCTTGACGGCGTTCCGCAGGGGCAGGGCTCGAGGAGCCGCACGCCCGTGAGGCGTAGGCATCCTTGGCACTGGGAGTGGTTTGCTGGTGATTCGACGAGAGGTGGCGAGGGTGTTACATGCAGGAAGCGCTTGGACGTCGGGCGCGCAATTCATTGGATGGGAGAATGTGCAATAGAGGAGTCAGAGTTCTCTCCTGAAGGGATGGAGAATGGAGGCTGAGGAGTGCCCGTTGGTCCGGAAAAGGTACTTATTGGAGGCGCCGAATGGGGAGAAAGCTGAACTTCCAGCTGTTGGGATTTATGTTTCATGACGGAATGTATGAGGGGGAGGATTTTCAGTTCCTTCCTGCCGTTTGTCATTTTCACGCTGGTATGGATGACATGGAACAAGACACTTTTCTTGACTACAGAAATGTTGTTGATGTGATTCAGGTTACGCCCGCGGAACCAATGGCTGGAAAAATGGCAAGGCTCGGACCGCTTAGACGAATCGATGACATTGTTCAGATGCCCACTGATGAGATGGCGCGTGTTACGGGTATTCCCTTTATCAAGGCTCGTTTCATTCAATAGCAGTTGTTGAATGTGGGTGACATGGAGTTTGAAGTGGAAGAATCCAGTGAAATTGAGAACCCTGATTACTTCTACAATCCCATGGATCAGATGTTAGAATCCCATGAGAGAAATTTCCACCTGCGGCAAAATAGAGTTATTGGGGCTTTTCAATCCCTTTACTGGCACATGAGACATGTATGTGGACAAGAAAGCCTCTGAGGACTCTGGAATTGCATTTGATTTGCTTTGTAGAATTGCTGCAAGATTGCATAACGAGGACTCTTCTGATCACTCAGAGTCGCCCCGTCCCCTTGCATGGAGAATCGACACTTCTCCGGAAAGTCCCGATCTGCCTTTGCAGGTTCCCTCTGCGGGAGCTTCTGATGTTGATGGTGCTGCACTTTCGCACAGCTACAACGAGAATGAGTCTTGCTTCCGGTCGTCGGATGGGGCTGGGAGCAGTTCGGATCGAATCGGCTCCCGGGAAATTTCCGGAGTTGTTGCCAGGGCCTTGGTTAACTCTCATGAGGAAATTGCGCGGGGGGTTCTTGAGGCTTTTCGGATCAATGCGGTGACTATTTATCATTGCCAAAGCCAGGATGATGTTCCGCATCTTATGGCATGTGCTGGATGTCCTGACTGGATGTTTGAAACCATTGTGCAATATGTTCGGGTCATCCCTCTGTGTTAGATGGGGGCATGGAGGATAACAACACTGATGATGCAAGTGACACTTTGGACAGGGAGCTGACTCGTTGTTGCCTTGACGCGCAAAACGCTTTGGAGCGGGCTCTTGCTGTACATCGTGAATTGCGTAGACGGAACGATAGGCTTTCTGAGAGGTTGCAGCAGCAATCTCAAACCATTGTTGCCCTCGTTGAGGAGAATAAAAGATTGGGAGATACTGTTACTGCACTCTCAGATGCTACGAGGTTGCCTTTCAGCCCTGATGATGTGAAGGAATTTACTGATGACTCTACCCCCCCTAAGAGGTTTCGGGGTGGGTCGCTCGGTGACGTTTCCTACAATGTCGGTGTGGGATTTATTCTCATGGCGCTTTTGCTTTTGTAGGGAGGAGGTGCTGACACAGATGCAGAAATTGGTAGGATTGTTCAGAGACCCGCTACTGCTGGTGTCCGCTACACCTCTAAGCTAATTCGCGCCCTTTTGGTTATTGACGGAAAGCTGAAAACGAAGATCCAATCGTGTGATAACAGGCAACGGATCTGCGAAATGCTCCATGCTGCTGGTAAGCGTATTGGTATGGTAAGGGGAAAGGTGCCACTGCTAAGCAACCGGACAAAGACGGCCCTCCTCGAGTGCGGAACCATGAGAAGGGCAAGTCTAAGGGCGACGCTAAGGGTGCTGTAAGCCTGCTGAAGGACGGGTGGAGGATCCGCAGCGTAAGGGAAAGGGAAAGGGGAAGAGCAAGGATGACGCCGATGCGCCGGTGTTTTCGCTCATCCAAGAGGATTGGAATTTTGCTGTCAGGCAAATTGAAGAGTTTGACCCCAGCGTTGACGGTATTTATCTTGCAAATGATGTGAAGGAGGTCCAGCACCTCGTTGCCAGGTCGTCAGATTCAAGCAAGAACATTTGCTTTGTCCCTTTTCTATTGTCCAAAGAACCAGTGCGATTCGCGTTCGTATTAGTTCTCAGGATGATATTTTCCTTAGCGCTACAGGGCCAGGCAGACGGCAGCTGTCCGCACTTGGATTACTAGCAAACTCAAGCATCGCATTTTTGATTGTTGGTATTTCAGGCATTTGAACGGAGAGTGGCGTGTGAGTGCTAGGCTTGCTTTTGATGACGTCAAGCCTATCATGTCGCAATCCTGCCCTTCAACACCAAGGGTGTCACGTTGCCTTTCAAACCAGTTTGGTTGCGCAGGAATGGGAAGCAAATGGATGCCTCCGAAGCTGAGGATTTTGCAAACTAAAATGATGAGCATTATGGACTTTTCCAATCTAGCAACACCTGGGCCCTTAGAGTGCCATCGCAGTTATATGAGAAAATGAAATCGGATCTTGGACAATTCCCTACTCCCCTTGACAGGATCAGCGATCTACCCTCACATTTTATTGATGAGGACGTCGCTGACATTGTGGAGCTATTGGGTGGAAGGGGGAAGTCATGCCCCAATCTTGTCGATTTCGGAAGGGAGGCGTTGAAATTCTGGTCAGATCTCATATCCCTCCTCCTTTTGCTGAGGCCCCTTTCAACTTTGGATGGGAAAGAAGAGTTATCAGATTTGAGCCCACGCAGAGAACCTGTGCAGAGAGAGAGGACCAGTCCTAGTAAACTTCCAATGATCAATTGCGGAAAGGCAAGGATGGCCTCTGGGACTGTCCACACTGGCAGCAACAGAGGAATGATTGGCCCCATATCTGGACGCAGCGGGCTGAATGGAAGAGCTGCTCTAGGCGTATGTTGTTTGCTACAAACGGCATTGGCTGAGCATATCAAAAAACAGTGGCCCGGAGGGCAAAAGGTACTGCTCTGTACTCCTTCGTGATTGGGCAGCATTGCAAATTGGTAGACGTCACAAGCAGGATGTCTTAGTTGATCAACTTCCTGATGAGGCGCAGCAGAGTTCAATGAGTATTCCGCTAACAACAATTGATGTTTTTGCTCACCGGCAGGCTGCTGACGCCGTCGTGGTTGCTTGGCGCCGGCAAGTTGCGCTGCCTGACTCCCCTTTGCCGAGGACTGGGGTGGTAGTATGACCGACCTTGCGCATGGAAAATTCAATACGGAGCCCCCTACCTGGCTGGAGACATTGATATGCTTTTTGCTTATCAGTGGGAAAGGCGCTACGTTCCTCAAGCGTTGTCGTACTCTTAAACAGGCTCAATGGAAACTTCGAATGCTCTGGAACGGACTTGTTAGGCGGCGCCTTCCGCACTGCGCTGTCTTTCAGAACACTCAATCTGAGAAAGTTCTTTTGCCTTCATGGCCAGCTGTTCTTACAACGCGCTCTGGATGGAAACTATGTCGGCATGACGCCATGAGCGCCGCCATGAAAAAGGTAATTAACTTGAATACGCAGCCCTTTCTCAAAGGTGCTCCGCTTAAAAAGCTACATGTGAAAATGGACGAACTCTACGATTGCATTCTGGATTGGAGAACGATGGATGAGTTTTCGTTTCTTTTTCGCAACGTGCGCTCTGTGCAGAAGCAGGCTTCAGCGCAACTCCCGGGTACGGGTGAGGTTTGTCCCTTTGGGACCAACCTTGGCTTTCATCTTGATGCAACTTTGAGCATTCAGACTCAAAGTGCCGCCTCTCTTATTCGGACCAGATTCATGGAATGTATTCCTTTGGAATTCTGGGTTAAGCTGGACAAAACTCAAATGAAACAGGTACTTGACTCTACTGCTATCAGACGAGTCAAGTGTGCTATTGCCAGGAGAGAAACTTTCGCTTACGGATGGAAGAAGCGCAAAGCGGTCTTCTCTGCGCCTTTCCATGCTTTTGGAACTGATTACCCTACGTGTACGTTATGTACTTACGAAATTCCTTGGTGCAGGTTTAGTCACATCTCGAGACACCCTCCATGTAAGGTTGTCTCGGATGTTGGCCTTAATGCGGCCCAGATTGATGTGCAGCTCGCGTCCCTTTGCACTCAAATCTCGGCTCTGCATGTCATCTTGGAAATGCTGACTTGAGCTTGTTTATTTCGATTTTGATTTGTCATGATACCCATATTTATTTGCTTCAGGACCAATGTGTCTTGTGTCTCACGCGCTTCAGACTTGGCATCTTGCTCTTGCTAGCCACAAAACCCGGCTACATGAAGGTTAGGGGCAATCCCAACCATAAATAGCTGCGGATATCCGCTTTCTTAATGCTTTACATGGTTCTGGGTGGACCATTTTTGTACCGGGTTTTGATTGCTACTCAAACCCATGGTTTGTTGTGGATTTTTACAGGGGAAACCAGGGGTTTCTGGGTTTTTACAGAGGAAAACATGGGTTTGGGCTTTTACAAAAAAACACAATGGATTTGTGGGTTTTTACAGGGAAACCATGATGGGTTTGTCGGTTTTCACAGGCTCTGAAAAAGACAAACAAACCCATGTTTTCCCCCGCAAAAACCCACAACCGCCTGGTTTCCCCAAAATCCACAAGCCCATGGTTTCCACTGTAAAACCAACAAACCGTTTTCCTCTCTAAACGCCAACAAACCCATGTTATCCCTGTGACGACCCGCAACCCCCTGGTTTCCACTGTAAAATCCAACAAAATCCTGGTTTCCCTTGTAAAAACCAACAACCCCTGGTTTCCTCTATGAAAACCAACAAACCCATTTTTTCTCTGTAAAAACCGACAACCCCTGGTTTCCTCCTTGTAAAAACCAACAAACCCATGTTCTCTTTTGTAAAAACCAACAACCGCCTGGTTTCCTCTACAAAAACCAACACCCTGGTTTCCTCTGTAAAACCACACAAACCCATGTCTTTTTCTATAAAAACCAACAACCGCTTGGTTTCCTCTGTATAAACACACATTCTGGTTTCCTCTGTAAAAACTTATAAACCAATGTTTCCCTTGTAAAAACCTACGACCGCCTGGTTTCCTCTGTAAAAACGAACACCCTGGTTTCCTCTGTAAAAACCAACAAATCCATGTTTTCCCTTGTAAAAACCAACCTCCTGGTTCCCCCTGTAAAAACCAACAAACCCATGTTCCTCTGTAAAAGCCAAACAAACCCATGTTTTCCCCTGTAAAAACCAACGGCCTTGGCTTCCTCTGTAAAAACCCACAAACCCCTGTTTCCCCTGTAAAAACCTACAACCGCCTGGTTTCCTTTGTAAAAATCGACAACCTCCTGGTTTCCCCTGTGCAAGCCCACAACCTCCTGGTTTCCTCTGTAAAAACCTACAAACCCATGTTTTCCATTGTAAAAACCAACAGCCGCCTGGTTTCCTCTGTCAAACCAACACCCTCGTTTCCTCTGTAAAAACCCACAAACCCATGTTTTGCATTGTAAAAACCTACTACCCTGGTTTCCTCTGTATAAACCAACAACCCCATGTTTTCCCATGGAAAATCCTACAACCCCTTGGTTTCCCCTGTGCAAACCCACAACCTGGTTTCCTCTATAAACCCATATTTCCCCCTGTAAAAACCCACAACCCTGGTTTTTCTGTAAAAACAAACAAACCCCTTTTTCCCCTGTGCAAACCCACAGCCCCCTGGTTTCCTCTTTAAAAACCTACAAACCCATGTTTTCCCATGTGAAAACCAACAAACAGCTGGTTTCTCCCCTGTGCAAACCCACAACCCCCTGGTTTCCTCTGTAAAACCCACAAACCCCGGTTTATCCCACGGTGTATCCCCGTGGCGCGATGTCTGGATCTCGCAATGCCAAGGCCCCGGCGGCGCGTGCCGGTGGAGCAGGCAGTGCTGCTCCAAGCGCCGCGGGGGCCCGGGGCCTTCAGATCCAGGCTGAAGACTCCGCCGGGGAAGCGGGCGCCACGAGCTCCGCGGGTGGCTCGAAATCCAAATCGGTCCGATTCAGCCACAAGAGGTTCTAAAATGGGTGCTGAATTCAACCAAGCGAAATGGGACCCCAAAACGGTTTTGACAACCACAGCCTGGTGGGCATGGGCCAGACTTCGCAGATTTTTCCGGGCGAGGGAGTTGGCGGTGGTTGTCAAAACCAATGGTACCGATTTTTTGACCCATGGGGGAAACAAAATGAAAATCACCGGGAGTTGGACACCGTTTTTTTTTTGAAGTCCTTTCCAAGTTTGTCAGGGGCAAGTTCCATTTTTGGGGTACCATGTTTTGAGCCACACCCCAGGTTGCGCGGCTTGGCTGATCTTTTAGGTTTGGGGATTTTTTCTTGAACTTGATTTGAAGTGTTTGAGATGTTTGGGCTGGGCTTGGCCAGGGGTTGTTTTCCTGGGCTGTTTGCGGGGTGGTTGAAGAGCTGGTTGAAACAAAGACCAGTCTCGACTGTGATGTGAGACCTGGAGAACCTACAGTCCTGTTTGCCGCTAGTTTTGGTCGTCAAGCTGCTTGGGAATCGATGGACTGCAGACGTGCTATGTTGCATTTGTGAGTGGAGACCTGGAAGGCCGCAGTGTTTCGAGCCGACTGCGCCGGATGGGCTGGAAGATCCGGCATGTGTCGAACGAGACGAGATGTTTGGCCGAGATCGGTGAGCCAGGTCTTAGCCAGAGCATGCTCGCACAGGATGTCGGCTTCTGAGTGGCAGGATTCGTGATTTGCAATTCGTTGCGAGAGATGACGCCTCAGCAGACATCATTGGTGTGATGGGCACAAAGTCGGACCATAGCCCGAGGCATTTCTCATGTTGGTGGCGATTCCGGGCAACGTCTCTCAGCGGCTGACACCTGAGCCGAAAGCACGCTTCAGTGCAGACCGTACCTTGGGCACTGATTTGGGGAATCGGGGAACACAGATTCTGCAACACGGGCGTCCATGTGGCCATGAAATTTAAGAGTTGGAACCTCAAAGTGATTGGTGAACATGAGTCCGGACCCACTGAATGTTGATATCCACCAACGGGCCCCTTATTAAAATTCATAGCCATGTGCTCTGCCTCAGGCGTCCATGTTAGTTTGGCTCTACCAAGGAGGCCGCCTGTCCTGTGTGGGCCCTGGGCGGAGCTCTCCAAAGCCAAAACCTTCGGCTCCTGCGAGCTTCGGGCGTTTCGCCAGGCCCGTACTGCGGCACTGCGGCCAATGCCCTACTGCCGGCGCGCGCCCCAGCCGTCGCAGCCACGCGCCAGGTGTTGGTCGTTGGAGAAGCGACCGGACACCGATGAGTGTTGCGCGTTTTTGGTGTGGGGCGGTTGATCAGAAGCTGAAGTGATAACCAAAGAGGATAGCACACTGAGCACAAAACAAGTGAATAATCCACGATGGCACGAAACTTCTGAGGAAGTACTAAAATTGTTATGTGCCAAACACAGGCAAAATCTTAAGCAAATTCTTGATAACCCAAACTACTCGAGAAACAAAACTCTCATCTCCTGAAAACCAAACCCTGACGTCAGGAAAGTGGACAGACGGAGCGCACAAGCGATTCAGAGGACATGTTTTTGGGTTG